AGAGGAGAGAAAAGAGAATTTTCTTTTAAATTTCCAACAATTTTTCTTGTAATTTATGCATATTTCTTCTCTTCTTCCTCTTCTTTAAAAATATATTCCCCTAAAAAGAAAAATAAGAAAAATAAATCTACTATATAATTATCCAAGTATTTTGCATTTAAAAAACAACATTCACTTTTTAAATTACATGATTAAAACTTAATTTATGAAGCCGAAAACCTACCATTTAAGCCATTAAATTATAAGGAAATTGTATAATTTTTGAAGAATAACCCATCAAGTTACGTGTAGTTGCCCTTAACCCCCTCTCCTGAATTCTCATTACTACACTATCCAACATTCCCACTACACAAAATAAAGTAATAATAAAAAAAATTCTCCATGCTCATCTACTCATCTATACGCTTCGTTACACCTACAGCAGAAATGGAAGCCAATATATTCGCAAACCATTTATCATGTATACGATTTCGTGAGTGCAATCCCTTAAAAAAACCTTATAACCTTTCCTACGTATCGCTTCCGGGGTCATAGGTTATAATCAAAACGAGTTATTCTGTCCTTTGCCATCTCTAACTATGGTTACAAGGTTAGACAACAATGTCCAACAGCCTGATAACTAGGTATAGTAGGAATGTGAAAATTATAGACATTTTCAAGTAGAAACACTCGATTTGATACAGGAAATATGTATGAATGTATAGGTGTATACATGTATAGATAGAGAGAAAGGGAGAGAGAGAGAGAGGAAGAAAGGGGGATGCAGGAGCTTTTCATCAGTTCATTCTTGGTAATGATGAGAACCCTTCCTGATGATATATGATCTATAACATGGATTTAAAATCATTTTCTCATTTAGATTTAAAATATTGATTTTCTCATCTAGAATGTAACAATATCGATTTATTGGAAAACATATTTCGTTACTTGTCAATGTGGAACGAGTGTTATTTTTGGTAATTACAGACCAAAGTTGTAACGAGGATTTGAATAGAGAAAAGAGAGGTAGTCGATGAAAATTAAATATACATATTTATTTTATTTTTTTATACATAAAAGTTAGAGTTTTATGCTTATTATACACGTTAAGAGCTGCTAGATTTATATACAGGAGAGAATTAACTCTTAATACAATGCTATGTTAGATTGATATCTCTTGTTACGTACCACCTGTAAGTTTACTCCTTCAAATATAAGAAGTTCTAGAGCTGATAGAAGAGATAGAAGACGATTCATCCCTTCTATCAGTTATAAATCTTTTCTGATAGAAGGGATAAATTGCTCAGGGATGTATCTATGCTCTCAACAGAAGCTTTCGTCTAGCAATATTAATGAGTTATATATATTCTTGAGTACTTTTTCTATAATTTTATAGATTAAATTAACTTCTAAACATAAGAAAAGTTTATAAAAAAAAAGAATGTTTAGTAGGAAAAAAAATACACGCAAGGTTACAAGGATAAAGTAAGCCTGAGAAGATAAAATGCTAATCCAAAGGCATAAAATGCAGGTGTGGAATTCTAGAAAGTGATGACTGAGATATTTTATTTGAATTATAATTACATACTGAATGCAAGATGAATGTTAAGAGGAGAGAAAAGAGAGATAAACTTTGTCTAAACAAACAAAATTCCATAAATACACTTACA